CGTTCTTGGTCTTAAGAGCCCCAGTTAGTCCATTTTGTAAAGCTGCTTGGAGATAATGCACACCAACCCCGTTTGTTAGAACGAGGAGATTAAGGTTCAGAGAGTCGGTCTGACCTGTCTGAGGTCACACAGGTGGTGGTGGAGCTGCTGCATCAGCGGCAAAATCGGTAAGGCAAGAACCTGGTTGCCTTTCTGTTAGTCTCTGGCCCTGCCCGTCTCACCACGTGTCTCAGAGCCACTGTCTATGCACACGCTCTTGTCATGGTGCTGGAATAGGATTTCTCTAAGGCAGGCGCTGTGCTCATCTAACTTACATGCAGCGGTGTGGTTTGTCCCGAGTGATGCTCCTATCCATGCATCCTCTCCAGGGAGGGATGACTGGCTTGGAGGAGCAGTGGCTACGGCCCATGTGTCCTGGTGTGCCCTGCGTCAAGCCTTGGGTGACAAGTCTAATTCTGCGAACGGACCCCATGTTCGTGTGTGTGCACATGTCCATTGCATGTTCACCCACGTTAATTCGCCACCTATACATGCTGCTGGCGAGGTCTCTTAATAAAAACCCAATTAGTATTTCCTTAACTTTCCTCTGGATGCTTAAATACCATTACCCCAAACACAACATAAAGCCTCTATTTTTCTATTTCAATCAAGAATTCAAGTAGCATCTTGACTCGTATATAATATATCAGCGGCAAAATCATGGAATGCTGACATCCTTAATAATAGCAATTAGTAATCAGTTGTTTCTTAAGTCGTTTGATTACGCCAGTTACCAAATTGTACAGTTGATGCATTTGGGAGCGGCGTGGGTCTTGCCACCCCTCCCCCAGCCGCCCTTCCTCCGTCTGTGTTCTCCACGGCTGGAGAAGCAATGGTACGGAAAAGGGCACGGACAAACAACGCCATCGTGGCTGACATTGAACAGTAGACACCGGGCTTTAGCAGAATGTAGCATTGAATGTTTCTTTGCAGAAACACTGATCCCGGTGGTGGTGTCTGTGGAAATGCAGCCTGTGCCCGCCCAGCTGAAGGTGGGCAAAGGACTGGGCCCATCCCTGCCAGTCGCTGCACCCAGAGTTCCAGCCGCCTCTCGTGGCTGAGGCCCCGGGCCGGGCTCTGGAACAAACAAGTGTTAGGAAGCCTCTTGCCCTGGAGGAGGTTGTATTTGGTTTGAGATGTCCAGCGGGTCTGGGAAAACCAGCCCAGTAAGGCTGTGTGTTTCAGTAAGGAGTGGAGACCAAGGGCATTTTGCTTTCAGGGAGGGAGGAGGTGGGCTTGCTGCCCAGGTGGGCGGGCGTGGCCTTTCGGAGGAAGTGACCTCCTCTGCGTGGGTCCAGGAGGGAGGGACGCTGAGCGTGAGCAGAGGAGGCGTGGCCTGGCCAGGAGGCTCCTGCTGGGACCAAGGCACTGGGGGCTCAGCCTCACGGTGCCCTGCCTGCTGCTGGCCTCCCAGCCCGTCCCTGCAGGGGAGCAGGTGCGCCGCCCCTTTAAGGGCACCCTGACTGGTGGCCATTCTCCTGCCAAACTCGCCTGGCTCCGGAGGAGGGTACATCCTGCACTTCGCCCCATTATCTGCTGGGGCCAAATCTTTCAGTTCCTTTGACCTCTGCCTGCACCAGGGGCACAGGTGCCCCTGGGGGACTTCTCCAGAAAGAGCCGTTTCCACCGTTTTCCCAGCGAGCGCCTCTGTTTCTCTGTGCTTTTTTGTGATGCTGACGTGGATGCACCAGAAATAAATTATGTTTCCTTCTGTTCTGTGTGGTGGGAGGGATGTGTTCACAGGCCAGTGAGCCTGGAGGCTCCACTGCAAGATGCAAGGTCCTGTTGTGATGGTCACGGCTGCAAGTAGGGAGAGTGGTTACGTTTCTTTTTCTTAGTTTTGCACAATGTTGTCTTTTGAACACTATCCAGAATCCTGTCAACCAGGGTTGTCCTTGGGACGGAAGCCTCTTCTTCCCCAGCTGCTTCGGCCAACACGACACACGGCCAACATGACACACGGGGCTCTGGCTTCCTCCCGACCCGGGGGGGCATTCCCGCCCGGCCCCTCACCTGGTTTCCTTTGTGTTACCATCCCCTCAATTCCAGGCAGCGGCCATGCCCAACTCGGGCTGCATTTCAAGGTCGTCCCCACAAATTCCAACCACTCTGCAAAGATTTTAAAGATTCCGCGTGTGCATTTGAGCCCAGACAGCTTTGCTCCCTCAGGTGTGACACCCAGGGACCCACGCTCACCTCGAGAAAGGCCCTGTTTGCTCTCGCGCTCGGAGTGAGGGAGCCCGCGCCCACCTGAGTCTTCGGGACCACGGGCTCAGAGAAGCGCAGAGGAGGAAGGAACCTAAACAATGGTCCGACCCGCGGGTCCCGGGGAGCGTCTGCAAACGGCCAGTTCTACCTGCTGTCAGCAGACGTGAGGGTTCCGGGGTGGGAGGAGGAAGCACCCCAAAGGCAATTACAGCCCTTAGGTCCTCGTGCCAGTCTCTGAGAGGGGACTCAGCACGGGGGCCTTTCCCAAGCTCATCCCACCACGGAGAGCCCCACGGAAGCTTGCGGATCTGTCTGGAGAGCACCTGCCTAATCTCATACCCTGTTAACAAGAGGAGACATTGGCACAGAGAGGCAAAGTGACTTTCCTGAGGTCACACAGCTCAGTGGAGTAGAGGCTCAACACAGTGTCACAGTCACAGACCCCTCTATTGTCTTTCTCAGCTGGTGGCGCTATCCTCTAATCATCACCACGGCCTTCCCATCGGGCCTCCTACGCATTTCTCATCTTGGTCCCTGCCTTTGTGTCCGTCCTCCTGCCTCGGACCCTTGCCATGTCCCGCCGGGGCAGCTGCCTCACTCGGCGCCCAGCCAGACTCGCTGTCCCACCCTCTCTTTTGGTCTCCTTCACGGGCGGCACACCCGGCATGCCGGCCGCTCCCTCTTTGACCTGCAGCGCAGCCGCTTTCTCTTGGCTGCACTTTGACCTGCAGTGCACCCTGACTCAGTGGATCCGTCGTGGGAGGAGCGCAGCTTTCCCAACAGACATTTCATTAGGTAAAGTGACGGGGACAGGAAAGATCTTGCAGGGCAATCAGTGACGTGAAGCGAAAGGACATTTTAGCCCCAGGATTCCAAGTGCACACGTCTTAACCGGCTGGGCCAGGCTGCGACGGGAGCGGTGCAGGGCGACCCTTGCTCCAGGCAGACCCCCGCGGGGCAGACGCAGGACCACGGGCGCGGCGGGCAGGGTTGAGGGAGACCAGCCAGGGGGCAGCAGCTGTCCTGAGGCCCTTCCCACCGCCACACCTGAGGGGCCGGCGAGGAGGGGGCTGCTGCCCGTCCGCAGAAGGGGCCCCCAACCCGCAGCGGCGACCTGGCAGGGAGGGGTCCCGGGAGCAGACACCCGCCCGCCCCTCTGCTCCTCTCAGTGACTGAGCCCAAAACAGGACCAGAGGCCGGGGTGGACTCAGTTCCTGGGGACCGGCCTCTCACGGCTGCCAGGCAGGGGCGTCCAGCGGCCGATGCAAGATGCACAGCGCGACGCTCTGAGCAGGCGCCATCTATGATTACGGAGTCTCCCCTCCCACCCCCGGGGCGGCCTCCTGCAGACGCGGCAGGTGCCAGGTTTGGGGTCACCGCTCCTGGGCCCACGGACCTCAGGTATTAGGAAAATGAAGGTGAAGAAGCATCGGGGGTCAGTTTCTCCCCCAAGCCTGAAGCACATTGCTTCCGCCCCCAGTGGGAGGCGGCCCGGGAAGCACACCCGGCCACGGGGAGGGAGGCGCGGAGCCCCCCCCAACCCCAGTCAGTGACTGCTCTCTTTGTCACCTTGCAAGCTCTGTTCCCTGAAATCAATGTCCCACGCACGTTCCATTTCAGTGCTCTTTCTGCGTGTTGCACACACACGTGTACATGTGCACGCGTGTACGTGTGTGCACGTGGGGGTGCATGCGTGTTCATGTATTGGGGGGCAGTCTGTGGGGGTCAGCAGCCCTCAGCCTCCCGTAGGGGCCAAGACCAACACTGGGGGCGCCTGTGACAAGCTGGAAAACGGCACAGGCCAGGGCAAACACCTTCAGCAAACACGACAAAGGGATTATACCCCACAAAGTGACAAAAAAAGATCCAAAGAGATGGGGAGACAGTCCCCAGGGACCCCAGAGGCCTGCAAGGAAGCACAAAATCCTACGGACAGGACGTCATGCTGCGCGGCGCGGAGAGCACGGGCAGGCAGGCAGGCGGCCGTGCCCAGCAGCCACCGGTGGTCGCTTGTTACACCTGCAACCCAGACACGGACACTCACAGCCAGCACGCTTGCGTTGGTGAGGCTGTGCCGAAACAGCCACCCCCGTCACAGGGAATCGAAATCCCTTTGGAAAACAATTTGGGGACGCACGTCAAGCAAACTTTATATTCTTGTCCCAGCAATTCTGTTGCCAGAAATGTACCCTGAGGCCATGACCCCAAATACGAGAACAGCCGCATCCACGCTGAGGAAGACGCTCACCGCGGCACCGTTTACGGAAGGAACGGTGTAAACAACCGCGTCCCTTTGTAAGCGTCCGGTATTTTGTGATTAACCACCTCCACAGGTGATTGAAATCGGGAAGACGGCGTAGCAACACGGAAAATACTTTAGGGTTGGACTTCTTATGTCTCGAGAGAGCAGAGCACGGAATTACGTCTATGATCGGTTATACGTGGGTGAAATTTACACATGCAAATGGATGGACCTGGAAAAATAAATGGAGCCACGAGAGCAGCCAGGGTGTTAGAATGCGGGTGTCGAGGGTTCCTGTTTTGCGTTGCGTAGCGCGCACACGCACACACACACGCACACACAATCCGTGCAGTGCGTGTGTCTGCACATAGGCACGCAAGTCAGATGTCCAAGCACACGCCATCTGCCTTCTCCAGCCACCTGCCCCTGCCCCCGGGAACGTCGCCCTCCCCTCCGTCAACGCCATGCAGCGGTTTGGCTCCCGACCGAGGAGCAGCCGCCGCCCCGTTACCTAGCAGCGCGCCGGGGGGCAGCGGGGCCGCGGGGTCCTTCATCCAGTCGTCGTTGGCCAGCTCCATCACGGCGTCCACGGGCAGGACTTCCGCGCAGATCACGCTCCTCACGCCCTCCTCGTCGCGGGCGTCCAGGGCAGACTTCAGCCTCCTCACCACGCCCGAGCCCAGCGGGTAGTCGGGGAGGCGACCGGAGCTGGACATTGCCGAGTCGCTCGTGGCCGGCCGGCCTCCTCCGCTCTTCTGCAGCCAGCGAGCCGGGGACTGGCCCCAGCGCGGCCGGGGCCGCTATAAATAGAGGACGCTCGGCTCCCGCCACGGCCGGCCAAGGGCCACCCGCCACCCGCCCGGCCGCCCGCCCTCCTGGCAGGGAGACGCGAAGCGATCTTGGCAGGGATTTCTCCAGAGACGGGGCCGGAGCATGTCTGTGGGCAGGGCACGCGGGACGGCATTTCCAAAGAAAGCTCTCGCGGGCATGGCTGAACGACGCCTTCCTTCACCGCCAGTGAGGCTGCGCCGGAAACTCTGGAAAGCCTTCCCCGAGGCCGGGCTGGCGGCGCGCTCTGTGGAGGGGGCGGCTCCCACGCCCCACCGTCCCCTCGCTTCCCCGGAGCGGAGCCGGTCGCCGGCAAGCTGGACGCGCCCCGAGCAGCGGCGTGGAAGGATCGGGGCTCTGGTCTCCAGATCTGGGGGTGGCCCGGCCGGCCTCAGCAAGACAAAAGCATCACGAAAGCGGAAAAAGAAAAAAGGTAACCTGAATATCGGCCTCGGCCTCCCCGCCCCTCGAGGCTGGTCGCCGGGGTCAAAGCGCGCAATCCCACGACACGTCGGAGTGCAGAGCCCCCACCCCCGCCGCCGTGCGGACTCCTGGGCACTCGGGGGGAGGGGGGCTTTTTTCTCACGGTGACCTCTGTCGTCGCTGTCCGGGGTCCCCCGTGTCAGCCTGCACACGGGCGCAGCTGTGTGAGCGGTTTCCCTGCTAGCGCCGCGGGCGCTGGGGTCTCCCGGCCCAGGGCTGGCGGGCGGCTCTCCCAGGGCCTCCCCCGCCCTGCCGCCCGTCTTGCCTCCTTTTCACTTTTTCAGTCTCTCTCTTCTCTTCTTGTGATTCATTTCACGTGTCACTCTGGTTAGGAGACGGCGCCCAGCTACTTGGTCAAGCATTATTCTAGATGTTTCCGTAAAGGTGATTTTTGGATCAGATTAGCATTTATTATTATTTATTTAGAGACAGAGTCTCGCTCTGTTGCCCAGGCTAGAGTGCCATGGCGTCAGCCTAGCTCACGGCAACCTCAAACTCCTGGGCTCAAGCGATCCTCCTGCCTCAGCCTCCCGAGTAGCTGGGACTACAGGCATGCGCCACCATGCCCAGCTGATTTTTTCTATATATATATATTTGTAGTTCTCTGGCTAATTTCTTTCTATTTTTTTTTAGTAGAGACGGCGTCTCGCTCTTGCTCAGGCGGGTCTCGAACTCCTGAGCTCAAATGATCCGCCCGCCTCGGCCTCCCAGAGTGCTGGGATTACAGGCGTGAGCCACCGCGCCCGGCCCAGATTAGCATTTTCTAAATCAGAGGACCTGGAGTGAGGCAGGCGGGCCTCGCTAGCGTGGGTGGGCCTCGTCCAATCAGGCGACGGACCTCCCCCCTCCCCCGGGCAAGAGGGACTTCTGTCTGCAGCAAGTCCAACCCTTCCGGGGTCTCCAGCCCAGCCGCCCACCCTGCAGATTTTGGATGTACCAAGACTCTACAAGCACGTGAGCCAGTTCCTTAAGATACATCCTTCTCTCCCCCCTGCCCCCTTTTCTCTCTCTCTATCCACATCCTGTTTCTTCTGCTTCTCTGGAGCACCCTGACCAATACACCCCTCGTCCCCTCCGCTCTAGTGTGTGGCTTTGCAGGTTCTGTTCCATCTGCATTTGAGGTGCCAGACACTGCACTTCTTGCCCCACATCCATTCTTCTTCCACCTGCCCAAGAGAGCCTGGATTTTCTTGGCTGTGGCACTGTGCCAAGCTCCGGGGATGAAACTTGCCGATTGAAGTAAAAAACAGCAGCCCTCATCTCCTTTGATAGCTAGCAACGTCCCAGCCTCTCTTGCAGCCCGGTTCTGGCCGGAGAGGGCAGGCATGGTCTGCGCTGCTGTGCCTGGGAAGGTACTTGCTTTCCTGATTGAAAGAGTCAGACGTGGCTGGCACCTCTCTTTCCCTTTCTTCTTTCCTGGAACATGGACATGATGTCTGGAGCTGTGGCAGCCACATCACAGCCATGAGGTAACAGACAAGAAAGGAAGGATCGACACACTAAGGAGAGTGGAACAGAAAGAGGGAAAGGGACAGGAGATGCCATTTCTGAACTTCTGCCCCATCTCTGGGGTGCCAACCTCCAGACTTCTTGTCTTTTTGCCTGAAGCACTTGTGTATCTTCTGTTACTTGCAGCTGAAGGCATTGATACAGGTAGTGTATTCAATCTGCCTTTACATCATGGGAGTGTCCTGGTTTCAGGTTACAGAGATGTACCAGGAATGGCCCAGCCAGTGATGAAGAACTTGAGTTAATCTCCCCAAGCCTTCTATTCTTCTATAATATTGGCTGCCTGCCTTTTACAATAAAACCCCAATGGATTTTGCAGTGATAGCAGCCAATTCCCGACTCCCAAGGAACAACGGCTTCGCGGGCTGGGCTCGTGAATGAGCAAGCAGCCAGAGCCACTGCCGTGACTGCCCTCCAGTGTCACAGACACTGAGAAACGGACCCCGCGGAGACATTCTTGGGATCCCTGGCAATGGACTCTGCCCAGGGAGGAGACCCGATACCAGGGGACCTGTCCCAGTTCAGATGTCTGGCCAAAGTGCAGAGCATGACGCTGGTTCATTCTCGGCCAAAGAGCTAGGGCTTTGGAGAGAGATTTTTGAGCTTAAATTTCCTAGGACAAACATCATCCAGCATCAAATGCCTTACATTTAGAAAGAAATCTAGCACTCGCACGTTCGCATAAATACAACGAGAGGGAGGGTAGTGACCACAGGAAAATTATCAGCGTCCGGGTGAAAAACAGAACGGGAATTATTAGAGACTGCCATCAAACTTCAAATCAGAAGGGAGGTAAAGATGAGGCACTTGTTAGGCAGATAATAAGATGACAAAGCCTCAAAATATGGCACTCACTGATCTTAATTACCACGCTATCTGCTGGGGGCTTAATCAGCGGCACATACACTATGCTAATTATTCCGGCTAATTTTGTTATAATGTAATTCTTTATCAACCCTGCTATGTATAAATTAGGAATTGAAATGTAACTAACACAAATTATATTTAAGGCAACATGAATTTCTTTATTTCAGTATGAAATCTTCTGATCTCTATTTCTTTATCTTTCTTTCTTTGATTAGCTAATGTGACCCCCCCTCCCTGTCCCAGTCCCTCACAGCCTGAACCGTCACCGGGGAGAAGGGAACCCGGCGTCAATATTTCCCCCTTAACTTCTTGCAGGTTGCATACTCGGCTTTCTCCTTCAGCCAGTGTCCTTGAGAGGTGCGGAGTGTGTTTGAGCAATCAGTGGCAGACAGATCCCGGCTTCCTCCAAATCAGATAAAGGTCGTCTCATTGTTCCCTTTTAACTCTTAAATAGTCATTGGAGGGTGCCATAATTCATGCATTTTTGGTGATATGTTGTATGTGACTTACATCAAGTGATGTTTGCAAATGTGTTTGGGTGAGGACTAACGACACACACCTTAGAGAGAAGCATCAATGTTACCTGGACATTTCTGTCGCGTGGGTTTGCACCCGGCGAGGCCGGGCTGGCGCAGAGACCGACCGCAAGCCTGGGAACATCTTCTCTATCAGTACTTTGGGTTTTGAACAAATTCGAAGCAAAATAGCAATGCCTAATGAAAAGATGGATACGACTGGGGTCTGATGTAGGCTCAGCACCACGTCAGCTGCCGAGGGAAGATCATGGTCTGGGAGAAACGGACAGCCCCAGGTGTGGCCTCAGAGCACGGCACCTGCTCTGACTCACTCGCAGGGACCGTTGCGCGGTTCTGCACCTGGACCCGCTTCTGGACTCAGAGCCTGAAATGTCTCTGCTTTCCTCCGAGTGTCTGGAGAGACGCTCCTTTACCTCGCTGGCCCCCCTGAGGACTCTGGGCGATTCTCACCTCCAGATCCAGAGTGGGGCCCTGCCAGCTGGGGCGCACACGGGGGCTGCGTTCCCAGGCCAGGGGCTGCCCTCGCCTCTCGCCGTTCTCTCTAACGCCCGGGGTCTTTATTATTATTATTATTATTATTTTTTTTTTTTGAGACAGAGTCTCATTTTGTTGCCCAGACTAGAGTGAGTGCTGTGACATCAGCCTGGCTCACAGCAACCTCAATCTCCTGGGCTCAAGCGATCCTCCTGCCTCAGCCTCCCGAGTAGCTGGGACTACAGGCATGCGCCACCATGCCCGGCTAATTTTTTCTATATATTTTTAGTTGGCCAATTAATTTCTTTCTATTTATAGTAGAGACGGGGTCTCGCTCTTGCTCAGGCTGGTTTCGAACTCCTGACCTCGAGCAATCCTCTTGCCTCAGCCACCCAGAGTGCTAGGATCACAGGCGTGAGCCACCGCGCCCTGCCTACGCCCGGGGTCTTACTTTCGCTTCTCCTAATTCCCAGCTCCGGTGACATGGACGTTTCTTCTTCCTGTGGCCGGAAGCTTTTCAACTTGGCTGAAGGTTCCTTTGAATTCCTTTCTGATGAGTCTCTTACAGCTTTTCTGCCTCGATGGCTTCAACCAAGACGTTTGTGGGGATGCATTGACTGTTCGGTGGCGGGACTGGCTCACCTGTCGCCCTCCCTGGCCACGGGAGCCACGTTGATGGGCAGCTCTTTGAGCAACCAGAGAGCAGGGCTGTGTTCATTTCCTCTGGGTCTTCGTGTCCGCGGGAAGGGATGCGGGTACGAACTAAATATGGCGAAAGTCCTCGACAATTCTAGCACGATGTTTTCCTTTCTACTGGGGCCGTGATTTGTGATGGCACAAGGGTGGAGTCGCAGTACTGGAAACGTGGACATTTCCCATTAATGTGACTATCAAAGGCAAAATAACAAACAAATGAATTCCATTTGGTAAGCACCCTTTGAGCCCCAGTTTATGCCAGGCCCTTCCCGGCGTGCGGAGAGTGTGGTTCACTGTACATTAGCATTGTCCCTGACTCCGAAGCTCGCGG